CTTCTGGGCCGTTTCTGAAAATGTCCCACCCCCCCCACCTCCAAGTCACAGACCGATTAATGCAGGCACTGAACGGCCTCATCCATCAGGATGAGGTGTATTTTTTTAACCCTTAAGGCAATGCATCAGAACTCGTGGAGCGCAGTCTTATCAGAGGAATGTCACAGCTACTGCACAGCAGGCTGGAAATAAAGGCAGTCATGTGACCAGGCCTGCAAGACTGACCTCAGCCTTGGCAATCATCCCTGCTGTAATTCGCCATCAAGTGCAGCTTCATCATAACCCCAGATCAGGACTTTTATACAGTTATCAGGGACAGAGACACAGTGCAACACTCTCTCTCTCTCCCTCACTGAAGCACGCACACAGAAAAAGGGCTTCTATTTTTTTTTAGGGACTTCTGTGCTCTGACGTAACAAATCCAGACATAAAAGTTAGAGCTTTAAATGATGAAATCAAGAAAAAAAAACTAAATTAGAATAAGGTGTTAAGCTTCTTATTAAATTGCCTTAAATATTTGTCATCTTTGAAAAGGAGAAATATATCTGTGCAACTTCCCTACTGACAGTAAAGATGTTTTTTAATGGCAACATTTACAGCACTTCTGGAGCAAGCAGAGGTTATGTGGAAGAATATAAAGAAAAATATATGTTGGCTGTTTAATCCTTCAAGTTTGCGTTCATGCACAACAAGAATGTTGAACCTCTCACCGTACATTCACGGACTGGAGAATTTCGATATTAGGCTAGAACTGGAAATGCTGAATCTACCAGGATTTTCCGTTTTAAGAAATATTTTTTAAGATTTCAGTGCCTTCCACATCAGTAACATTTTTTTTCCCTCCTTCATGTGTTTACAAATATACACGTCCCGTGATGCTGAGACAGGACACAAGAACTCTTCAGACAGGAATGTAACAAGAAAACACCTAAATACTTTTCGAGTACTGTAAATGAACGATCCACTGCTTCTCTCATCTGATGCTCGGACATCGCACATTAGAGATCAGTTTCTAAAAGGAGGCGCAAAGCACAGTTCTAGCCCACAGCATGCAGACCTAATTGTAATTCTGTGCACCTGTTGAAGGCAATGTGGGGATCTACAGTATAACGGTCAGCCACTGAGGAAGGAGGGTAGTCTTAATAACCATCCCCCTGGCTAAATCTTTTTAAAAGAGATGAGAGTGATGGTGATGGAAGACCTTTAATTATCTGTCCATTATCAGCACAGTTATGCATGAAGAATAAAAACAAGTTATTTCGCATAATTGCCTCAAAGCAATTTCGTTACAGTGCAATCTTTTTGTAGAGATTACACTAATTGTATAAATAATGACACTTTTACAGCATGGACTGACGTGCCTCTGAACTTCACTGCCTGCCCTGGCCTTCAAGAGGGGGATGTACTAACAACCTCGAATGGATGGTTAACCCTTGATTTACTGGGGTACAGGCCTAGACAACCAGTCTTATAAAATGTGGAATACACTGAAAAGAGATGAGAGATGGGTTAACAGGCAACAGCAGTTAGCTGTTAGAAACAAGCAGTTATTAATTACCTGAAGTGATGAGGCAGTATCCCTAGGTTAGTCTTCAAGAGAGGAAGCACTTATTTTTCATTGCTTTCATTGCTGTGCAGACACCTCCTTATCAAAACTGCAGAAAGAGAATCCTGGAACCAGGGCTACATTGTTAACAACAGACATCTCACTATCCCTACCTCAATAATGGCTGGTCATTACTTCCCGAACACGATTTCCAGTGCAAGGCCTTGGCCAGCCCATACCATGTGAACACATACAAAAATCGGAACCAGGATCTGACTGGACATGTTTTTTTCTTAAGTTCCTTGGTGGTAAATTAATCACCTGACCTGGATTACTGAATGTGCTCAATACAGCCAAATTGTTACCCCTCCCCTTGACCCTGAGGCACAGTTAAGAATGAAAAAGGTGCTGAAGTTGGATCTTTGTGACGTTCAGCAGTACGAAAACATTATTATATTATAGGATTAGGATTATAAAATGTATAACCATCCTCCCATTTCATCATCAGTGTTGTTGTATTGAAAGAGCCCATTGCACAATAGACAACAGGCACAATAATAATAATAATAATAATAATAATAATAATAATAATAAACTATATTTTATACAGTGCCTTTAAAGGTGGCTTCTCAAAGCGCTTTACAGGATGGCAATGCAGGATACACCCTGAACAGGACACCTGGGTCACACACACTCACACCAGGGCCAGTCTTCCCAGTAGCCAGTTAAACTACCAGAGTGTCTTTAGAATGTACGAGTAAACCGTTGCACCCAGAGGAAACCCCACTTAAACATGAGAACATGCAAGCTCCATGCAGACAGCACCCCCAGGCCTGGAATTGAACCCAGGCCCGCAGTGCTGCAAGAGAACAATACTGACCCCTGCTCCATCGTACTGCCCAGTACCTTATTAAAAATGAGCAAAACCCATCCGGTCAAGAGACTCCCCAGAGCCCCTAAAACAGGAGTAGAACCCCAGTCCTGGGGGACCAGAAAGCTCCTGATTATCTGATACATTGAGCCTTAATGACTGAATTCCAGTTTTTATTCACTTTATTGGAAAAACTTTACTTGTAATAACTTAGATACTTAAAGAGAGCTGAAGTATAAAAGCAGAGTAGTTGGGCATCTCTTACTTAAAATATGCTTGCAGTATCAAACACCAAGAGCCAGAACTACAAAACCCCTCAATCTACTCCTATATAAGTAACTTTATTGCTAGGTAAAATAGGCTTAAAGCTCGTATTTACTATTGAGACTTACTGCACACGTGATCTGTGACATTCCACAGCAAAATAAATCTACCCGAAAAACTTAATCAACTTCCAAAAAACAGTTATTTGCACTTCTTACGGATGCCATTAAAAGACGAAAGAGGACCTACACACATCTTGTTTTATTTACAGAAAATTGACATTTGGGGGGTTTGATCTGTGTAATTGGGGAGGCTTTTCTCCAAGGCGTACGCGGAACCACGGGGAAGGGACGCGGGGATCAGGAGCTCAGACCACGGAGTCAGTTTCACTTGAGTACCGGGGATCCGGTGAATTGAACAGGCCTGCACCAGCCCGAGAAAAAAGAAAGAATGACTGTTCTAAATTTCACCACAATACATCAGGGTAATAAATGATAAAAATATTTTCAATTCACAAAATTAAAAGTACCGCTTTAAATGTGGCTTCCTGGTTGCTAGGCAGATTCAAACCATTCCGCATCTCCCGGAGTCAACAGGAACATTTAGCTCATGACTAAGCGGAAGACTTAACAGCCAATCAAAGACCGAAATTGTCTTGATTGGCATTTTACTGCACCAACTGCAAACAGCACAGGTGTCATGTCCCACCCAGGGGGAGTCAAGCTTAAGGTTTAAAAAAGAACGATTTCTAAATTACTTAATTGAACACATCAGTTTAATTGAACATGGGCAAATTTGTCAGGGGTTTTGAAATTCATTTAAAGGCCACTTAATAAACCTTATGTTCTGAAGCTCTCCAGGACCAGGGTGGGAAAGTCCTAGTCTATATTATAGTTGTGTCTAAAGTAAACATTAGACAGTGGACAACATTGAATGGGTTTAATTGTTTTTATCAAAGCAAATGTTACTATACAACGAATATTTGACTAGGAAAAAAACTAAGATGGTACACAATGTTTTCAAACTTTTTTTTGCAATATTTATACAAACTGAGTATTTGGAAAACAAAAAAAGGGTTGACTATATTGTTAACTGTGGTATACAAATATTCAAATTTTACAAAATTAATACATTTTTAGTTTAAACTGCAGTTAAGCAAAAATTGTATATCAATAGAAACAAAAATATTATTCAAACTCCATGATCTGTTTAGCTAGTAAAATAGAAAAATGAATTTCAACACGCATGATAGAAAACAAATGTGTTCAGAGAGAAGGAAGCATAATGAGTAAGGGAATTTCAATGATATTCTTGAAAACATAATTACAGGCCTGAAAGGAGTAATAAAGCCTACCCCATAAATTTATTTCCAAAAAGTTTTTAATATTAAAAAAAGAAAAACCTATGAACTATTTGCCTAGTAACTGGGATTCTTTCAGAATTGCTCAACAGTGACCGCTGCTGGCATTTTTCCGTACTGCAATGGCCCATGAGACTGATGGATATTTCGTCTTCTTTTCCCCCTTTTATGCAAAAATGTCCGTTATTGATTGCATATTTTTCTTTTCTTATTTTATATATTATCTATATTAATAGGAATAAGCAACTTTTCCCAGCCGTCTGGTGCCAATCTATCAGATGAGGTACATAAACCGTCAAAGACGTTATTAACCAAAAGGGAGCAAGAAAAATTAGCTAATTTGTACAGGGAGCGAGAATGTCATTTTTTCCATGCATCTCCAAAGCTGGCGTTTGCAGTTACACAAGGTATACAAAATCTCTAAACTTCTCCGTCTTCATAATGACACAAGAACTACGTCAGAAACCTGAAATAAATTAAGTGGAGGTGGAGGGTGCTTTTTTTAAAATTAATTTTTAAAACTATCCGGCTTTTCAGTTCCATCTAAAATAAGGCCAGGTTGAGAAATGAAGCAAAACTGTAGTACGTTCGACCAAAAACCCTGCAGTTTCAAACCGTGTGAAAAAAATGATATTTTTTTCCTCCTCAGTGGTACTAAAATTTAAGGAAAATAAAAAAGTCAAAAACTAAATTCCAACAAGCTTCCCGACAGGAAGCCCGAAATCCACGTCAGGGGGTCAAGCCGCTGATGGACAAACGACAGGCAGGTGGGCCCCTCTCACGTCTTCCTGTACGAGACGTCCCCTCCGACACCTCCAGCGCCGACTGCTGATGATGTCATACTACGCTCTTTGCAAGGAAACGAAGCTCAACGCAAGAGCCCAGCGGGCAACGTCCACCTCTTCCTCCAGACGCCCCCCGATGGTGCCAGCTTTCTCTTTTCTTCTCCCAGCGGTTCGCTCCCATGCATCTGGGGGGACGGGGGGCGGGGGAGGGGGCTGTGGCCCGACGCAGCGCCTGCGGACGCCCTGAGGTGGAGTGCCGGGAGGGCCCCCCTTCTCGCTCGCCCTCCCCTTCCACACCCCTGTTCGGACCAGGCGTGCCCCCAAAAACCTCCGGCAGTCGGGGTGCCCCCTTCGCCACCCCCCCACCTTCCTCCCCCCCCTCCCTCTTCCGCTACCGTGGAAAGGACCATGAGTTAATAATATCTAAAGAATTCTAGATAAAACATTCAGGCCAACAGCAGTAAAAGTCCTTTGCGTTTCCTTCTCAGGACCCGGGATCTGAGCTCTCTTCCTGAAGCACGCCGCCGCTGGTCTCATAGAAGGCTGGCCAGGCTGGTGGTGGGACCGTTCTGAGCTTGAAACTGCACTGGCGGGGCCCCGTCCGTCCACTACAACACAGGAACAAGAAATTCCTTCCACTTAGGCTTTCGGTGCCGAATAATGTGGCTTGATTGCGCTGCAATAACTAACACTGCTATTATAAGCAAGCTAATAAACAGAGTAGCATTACAGGACAGCTTGTCTCAGTTATTTGACGACTCTGCAATCTGCCCTTCAGCTTTGGTTAAGCTGGGCAGGTGGTTTGTGACCAGCTTATGAAAAGCTAAGCTTGCAACTATGGAAAAACAGCCCATTATGCAAACTGCATCTTAGAGGTACAGAAGTATATAAAAATCCACATAACACATGGGGGAATTCAAACTGAAGAGTGGGAGACCACATCAATAATCTTAATGAAACATCTTAATTTATCAATAATAGCTGATAATCCTTATAGTCACACAGTGGTGGAGGGGAGTTCCCAGGGAGACTTTACAGGGAGACCTGTAAAGCTCTTTGAATGGAAAAAAGTGCTACATGAGTGTAAGGATTATTATTATAGCTAATAATAATCCTTATACTTAAATAGGGCTTTGCTGGACACTTCACTCAAAGAGGTACTTTGTACTCATTTACAGGTAATGGGGATCCCCTCCACGACCACCAGCATGTACCCCCACCTGGATGATGCTCCCCAGCTCTCAGTGGGGAGGAGAGCAGAGCGATGAAGCCAGTTCAGAGATGGGGATTAATAGGAAGCCATGATGGGTAAAGGCCAGGGGGAAATTTGGCCAGGACACTGGGGTAACTCCTCTACTCTTTATGAGAAACAACCTGGGATTTTTAATGACCACGGTGAGTCAGAACCTCAGTTATAGGTCTCACCCGAAGGAAGGCATCTTTGTTACAATATAGTGTCCCTGTCACTATACTGGGGCATTAGGACCCACACAGACTGCAGGAGGGGCTCTCACTACTGGCACTACTGGTATAAAAAAGCAGATATGAAACATTTGCCAAAATGAAAAAACTGAGAGGGGGTAGAATGAGGCAAATTCATTTACTTCTTTACTCATTCCTCTTAAAGTGAGCTCTAACTGGGGCTGTATACTGAGGGTCTTGCATTCTTACACTGATCAGGTTGTGCTCAGGAAGGCTGCAGGCTGCGATGTGGTCCTGTAAAAGCTGCTGGGAGAAATTCTGATGCATCTGAGCTGCCTCGTGAGCATCTATCGTATTCCCACACGCCTTGTTCAGATCTGCAACAGTGAGCACAGAAAAAACACCGGAGCGATCAGCACACAACAGGAACATAATGACAAAGTATATGTTTTAACAAAAGCAAAGGCAAACAGCACAACGGGTGGTTCTCATCATCCCTCATCTGCACCAAAACAATGAAGTGTTGTGGCCTGCCACTGTCACTTTTAAGGACTTGTATTCACAGAGAGGGTCAATAAAAATAGCTCTGAAAATAACTTCAGAATGTGAGGATAGCTCCAGCTTCGTTAACATTTTTTTTTTAAAAAGACAAGTTTCAATTCAAATACCAGCTGCTGTTGGTATAGAGGTGGCACTTCCAACTCCTCATCAGGGTCCAGAACCCTATAGCTCTTTAAATTAACAGTGCAAAGTAGTAACCAAGGAATAAAGTGGTCTGGTAAAGCTGTAATTAGATAAATTCAAATATTAGATTTATAAAGTACCTCCCACTGAAAGTGTAGCACCCACCTGGGTGACATGCAGACCAGTTTTAAGACACCTCTTAAGCGAAAAGCTTAGAAATCCACATAGAAAGCATATTAGATTCCAGATCCCAAAGCCCAGAACTGGAAACCCTTCGTACAGGCAACTGCAAAGCTTCTGGAAGGCCAAAGTAATACAAACAATTGTCCTGCACACTGGACTCCTAACTGCCTAAAACACACAAAGTTCAAACATTGAGAAACAAACCCCTGCACATCCAAGGTGACAACTAATACCAGGTGTGTGCCAGAGTAGTCACACATTTTATCTGAACACACAAGTGGTATGAAAGGGGCGGAGTGGTGGCTCTGTTGCTCAGGATCTGCGCCTGAGGCTGGAAGGTTGCCGGTTCAAATCCCGCAGCCAACAGAGGAATCCTACTCCATTGGGCTCCTGAGCAAGGCCCTTAACCCCAGCTACTCCAGGGGTGCCGTACAATAGCAGACCCTGCGCTCTGACCCCAGGCTCTCTGCCTGCCTGTGTCTCATGGAGAGCAAGCTGGGGTATGCGAAAAGATAATTCCTAATGCAAGAAATTGTAAAGGGTTAATAAAGTGATGTTAAAAAAAAACGTTTCTGAATATTTGCCATTTCTTGGACAATTACAATTGTAATTGTCCAAATCGTGAAATATGAAATTATCCGTCCGTTTTCTAACAGCTTCATCCAGTTCAGGGCCATGGGGGAGCCAGAGCCTATCCCAGCAAGCAAATGGCACGAGATGGGATACACCCTGGATGGGATGGGACGCACACACACACACACACTACGCCAGGACTTTGATTTATCCTGAGAATTTTCTCAGGAGCTAATTAATCTATTAGTATGTCTTTGGACTGTGGTTAGAAACTGGAGCACCTGGAGGAAGTCCATGCAAACCAGGAGAGAACATACAACCTCCACACAGACAGCACCCCAGGTCCAGAATTGAACCCAGGGCCCCAGAGCTACGAGGGAGCAACACTGTGCTGCCCCATGTGTAAATTATAAAAAGAACAAAACTGCAAGCAAATTTCATCACAGGAACGGCTTCTGGTTGGCTATGGAGAGCGAGTCCTTTAAATCTAAAAATATCCTGCCACGTATCTGCTTTCAGAATCGAGTTACTACACCTAACAGCGGATCTGCAGGTAATTAAGCAACAGAAAACTTAAATGGAAGTGCTGTTTCAACACCACGGAACTGCAAAGCCACCAGTAAAAAACAAAAATGTGAAAAAAAGTGGAGCCCTTTTAAGCCATGTCTTGGCAATAAAGGGACTAATCAAAGATCAAGGCTCCTCATGCAGTGCATTACTGCCACAACAAAGGAGGTTAGTGCCTGAGATTAGAGTGACGCGCTATTGAAGTTATTTATAGTCCTTGCTGGCTGGGTCTTGGCCCAGGGAGCTTAGTGCCAGGCATGTCTTGAGGGGCAGTATCTGTGGCTCAAGGGGACCTGAATTCATGCAAAAGATTGCCTTTTGTCCTTGACTTGATTACTGCAAATCCGGAAGGGGGAAATCAACTACACATACTTTCGACAACCGAGCTCTAAAACTCCCTCATACCTACATCCCTGAATTTACAAACCTCTTGTAAACCAGGAATGCCGAGCTAAAATAAAAACCCTAAAGGCAAAATAAATCAATCTGGCAACTCTGGTGTGGAGTTTTGTACCCTTACATCCACATTTATCTGCTGTCATCTTACGAAAATCATTGTAAAATCCACATTACTGCACAAGCAGTAAGCAGTCAAGGATGCAATGACCAGTCTGAAAAGACTAATTAAAAGGTACTGGCTCCATGTACAAATATAACATTTAGCATTCATTTTTGCAATATTAAACACCTGTTCATGCATATATAATATGGAATGCTGTCACTCGAAAGGCAGTGGCGCACAATCTCCTTCACGATGTGCTGAATCTTTGTGTCACATTAAAACCGGACTAGCTCAGAGGGCATCTGCCAACACTTCCTCATTCTCTGTTGTGTGTGCAGTTGCCAACAACAAAGACGTGAAAAATATGCAACTGGAGGACACACACTGGGCTGGTGTAACCGGAGATCGTAAATGTAACAGGCTACTTGTTCATTCACACAAAAGGGATATAGGAACTGTAGCATTTTACCTTTCAACAGGGCTGAGGACCACAGCTGCACTGACATGTCAGGGATCTTGCTGGCAAGCTGCATGGCAGGAACAACCATGTTGTTGCTCTCCTGAATTTAGAAAATGTACACACTTACTATCTTTAATGGAAGCACTGACAAAACACACAACTGAAGAACATCTTCATCTAAACACTCACACACCACAATGCCAACACAATTGCCAACAATGAAGCAGGTGAGTAAGCATTTTGCTTTCGAAACAACTAGCTAAAGGAGATGCAGTCTTATCTGTTAAAGTCACCCCCTCACTATAGTCCGTTAATCAGAGTTTAAGGGAGTCTCAGACCGTCTCAGACCATCACAAACTTCATTCTGATTTTGCAGTATTTACACAAGTGCAGTATGCCTGCCAGGTCTGTGTTAATCCTTTTCAAAAGACAAGCTGGAAAGGTCAGGGAGATGCAAATTAAAAAGCTGCAAACATATTTCAGTACGGCCTGCTATCAGTTGTGTTCATATCCTCTTGGACAGGCCTCTTCTAGTGGTAAAACCTCCCAGCACGTCTCTAAATTTACAACCCTTCAGATTCTCATCATGAACTCAGAACACACTGTCGCTGTTTGATGACAGTGTATGGGGAAGAACAAAAACTAAATAAATCGCCTCTGAAAACTACCGACTGGTGAAACATTCCTAGACATGTCTAATAAAAAAATAAATCTTAAACTGCGAAATTCCACAATTTCAGGACCACAATTGCCTACAAAGATCAAAGACGACAATTACCGAGCTACAGTTAGAATAAAAATCAAAGTAAGAACCGAAGCTGCGCAGGTTTAACAAAGACAGTGCAGCTCCTAACATTTCCAGGGCTACTTACCCTGTGATTTCCAAGCACGTAGAATATGTGGCCTAACAAGACGAGGGAGCAAGCCGTCAATCTGTTTAGGTCTTCCGCATTGGACATCTTCAGAGTCTCGCGCAAGAATCGCCTGAACAAAGAAACACAGCGATGGAAACAAGCTACTGAACTTCGTCTTCACCGTAGTAGAACACAGGAGGGACACAGGAGGGACACAGACTGCAGCAGAAACAACGAGTACGGATCCAGGCGAACTTCAGACATATCATACTAAGGTCTGGCTGCCAGTGTGTGTGTGTGTGTGTGAGAGAGTGTGTGTGTGTGTGTGAGAGAGTGAGACTGGCGCAAGTGTAGATCCTCGTCGTTACTCACTTGGCCTCGTTGTAGCGTCCCTGGAAGAAGGAGAGCAGCCCACGGATGTAGAAGGCTGCTGCCCGCAAGCAGTGGGAGCTGTAGAGGAGGAGAGGAGAATCTTGTAAGGTCAAGATTAACACCAACATGCCCACCGTTCGCTTTTTTGTACTTGGAACCGTTTTTATTCTTTGAGAAGAAAACATACCATTTAAAAGAATAAAGGCTTAGACTCTGAACTTTTACGATGTCAAATGCCTGCTACAATCATGTCATTGAATTCAATGGATTTGGAAAATGTTCCCCCCCTATATTAAGTATTCTTAATTCAAACATTAATCCAAAGCAGTACGAGCAAACCAGTATTTCTATTTAGAAAAAGGATAATGCAATATTAACAGCTCCATAATGAAGTAATGGGCAAGGGGGATTTAAAAGGCAAATTTATGCACTCATTTAGGAAAGCAGCCTGTTAATGCTTCAACATTAAGTATTTAAAACACATTACAAAAAATGATCATCCATGGAGACAATGTGGTATTGCTCGATTATCTTATGTGCACTCTGGTAAACAACTACAAAAAAGCAGTCTAAAAGAGGACAAGCCAACCTTAATTCACTACTTCCGATCGCTAAAAGGTTTCACTTGAGTAACAAAGAAATAGATTATCTAAGGATAAACACTCATAGCAATTTCTTCCATGACAGTCAAGTGAAAACAGGCAGTGTATCAAAAACATATGCAAACCCCATAGACAGCTTATAGATACTTACCTTACAGGAAAATTGTGATCTGGGTTTATCCTCTCCAAAAGACTATAAAGCTGCAGATAGTGAATAAGAACACATTAGGTCCAAACAGCTCTGTTTTTGAACAGCAGCCATATCAATTCATCAATCATTTCAATTCACATGAGAGGGCTGGAAAATGCACCTGTCTAAACTGCATGCTTAGAATAAAACAATGACAGCAATGCTTAGAGGTTTCTAACAATGCTTTTAAAATTATTGTCTTTTCCTGGAAAATGTAACATGTCCCAACCTCCTGGTGCCGGTTTCCTTCTCTGATGTAGACACTCGCCAGGTTTGTCACGATGAACGTCCACAGCTCCTGGTGTGTTGTCAGCTGAGGGAAAGGGGTGCAAGTGTCAAACACAGTATTAACAGTGAAGACCACTTTCTGCATAACATGTTTCACAGACAGTAACTCCAACTGGCACATGTAAAATGTACACCAGCCAGAGCAGAAATCTGACTTACTCGCAGTGCTGTCGTGAACTGTGCTTCTGCGTTGTCCATGCAGTTCACAGAAATACAATAAAGACCCTATGGTATAAAAAGACAAGTTTGAAAAAAACAAAGCAATAACATGTGGATTGTTCATTGTTTATTGTAGTTTTGCTGATTGTATTTCCATATATAGCCTCCCCACTATGCTGGTATTATGTAAAAAGTTAATTATAAAGAAAACAATTGTTCGCTAAAAGATTAAATAAAACATGCTGTTATTTTGTATGTGTTCTACCTGAAAATCCTTTTATCATTAAATAAAGAGTTAAAAAAACACTAACATCTTGAAAGCTGTGAAAACCCACATTAATTAAGACCCCGCATCCAGGGCGGAGCGGATCTAAGGATCTGCGCCTGTGGCTGGAAGGTTGCCGGATCGTATCCCGCGGCCGGCAGAGGAATCCTCCTCCGTTGGGCCCCTGAGCAAGGCCCTTCACCCCAACTGCTCCAGGGGCACCGTATAAATGGCTGACCCTGCGCTCTGACCCCAAGCTTCTCTCCCTGTCTGTGTCTCTCATGGAGAGCAAGCTGGGGTATGCGAAAAGACAAATTCCTAATGCAAGAAATTGTATAGGGCCAATAAAGTGATCTTATAAAGTCACCCTCCAGAGACAAACTAGAAAAGCACTACTTCATCAAGCTTCGTTTACCATGGACTTCTTCCACGTATTCTTTCATGAGAATTTGCAAATTAAATCTTAATGGAGATAAAATTTTACTCCAGGCCTGGGTTTAGGTCAAAGGGAGGAAAAGCAACTGGATTCACAATTTTAAAAATTTACTTCATCAACTTTTGGCGGCTACCATTCCTGTCACAGTTGTGTTTTGGACTGAATTTCTAAAAGCATTACCTAGCATTAGAATTACAAACTATAGCAAAAGAACTGAGCAACAGTACCATCTTCTGGCAGCTACCATTACTTATCATTAGCATACAAATTCAGAATGACAGACAAATCAAACAAGAATCTAGCTTTTCAGTGTGTAGTGACTTTTGGAGGAAAAAGTCACAAAAAGACTTTTGGAGGAAATCTCACCCAGATATACAACTGAAGGTACTCACTAGCAAAGTATGAAGCTGAGCAGCGTGGTTTGAGAATAACCTGGGGGACTGCTGACAAAGCTGGCAAACTTGGGAGATCTGAAAAAATACGTTTAAAGAGAACACAGAGCACCACTTAATACAATGCAATTTTGACCATTGCTAGATTTCACTCATTATCATCATTAATGATAAATGAAATTATGATAAGGCAATCTTCATGTTACAATCCATGAAAACTTTAAAACTCAATAACTACAATCACTTAACAGCATAATATAGTAACCATTGCTTTATTTGAGTCTTACTGTCTCATTGCAAATGTCTTCAACCTTAATACAATAAGTAAAAAACAAAAAGCTTGCAAAAAATAAAAACTAGGTCCCGATACACCCATTATCACACACTAATGCAGAATAGGAATGAAAACGCCAGAAGAGTCACACACCTCCTGTAATGCTGTAGCCTTGTGACCAGTGACTAACCGACACATGATAATGTGCTCCAGCAATATAACCTGGAACGACGAGAGGATGGGACTGCAGTCCAGCACTATAAGACAAACAAGACCAGGTTATAAACACATTAGCTTGCAGAAATTAAGAAAAAAATATTTTTGCTTCTGTAATTAATGATGCGAATGTCTTTAGAGATCTTTTTTTGCAGCACTGTGCATAGACTCTGAATTAACGTTGAAAAGCATGTCTGTTCACTCACTCTTTAGTTTTTCTAACTGCATGAGTGCTTTGTCGGTATATTTCTGTGCCTTCTCAAGGTAGCCTGCTTGCATGGAGTGCATTACGGTTACCTGCAGAAGAGGGACATGTGCAAGAATTATAAATCGTCTGCAGAAAAATCAAATGTCAGCAGTTATTACAACATTAGGAACGTGTGAACCATCTTTATCTATTAAAGAGAAACGGAATCTGTGCCTACAATGTCAAAAAATCCCTCAGATGCATCCAGATTTCTAAGAACCGTACTGCAGTGTCTAAAGTAGTGGTTCCCAATTCTGATCCTGGTGACCAACACACCTGCAGGCTTTTATTCCAGACCACCTTCATCAGATAACTGAAGCCTTACTTGATCTATGCTGTTGCTTCAATTGAACTTTTGCGTTTCGTTTCTAGTCACAAGTTCGGGATTTAATTTCACTTACAAAATACAACAGTTATAACTCCAGCATGTTGAAGAGCTCGGAACAAATAGGTCAAATTAATTTTATTCTTGTTAAGTCAATGAAGGGTTTGATTGTGTAACTGAGGGCTCTACTGAAACAAAAAACGAACAGGTGTGTGGGTCACCCGGGCTGAAGACTGGTCTCAAGACAGGTGACTCACCAGGTACACCAGCACACACATGTGCTCCTTGGGTAACCAGTGGAACAGGTCGGCAGGGTTGCTGGGAAGGATCTCGTCATCGTGCAGCGTGGAGATGGTCTGGATGCACTGCTGCAGCTGCTTCAGACACGGCTTCACGCTTTTCACCTGCGCCCAGAGCACCCCCAAGTGGACGGTTAGAAACAAGACACTCGACCACCATGCCCAAAGACAACATAAAGAGAGCCATCCTTAAGAACACAACTCCAACCTTGCCAACAGCAACACAAAGGAGACAGGGGCATTTTAGAATGTGTACCCCCCCCCACCCACAACATGTTCAGCTTTAGATCTTTCCACAAAAGACAGTATAACTCGGACCCTTTTGTATTATGGAAACTGAAAAGCAAAATTCCTCTGTTTCTTCAACTCCCAACAGGACATCAATATGCACCGTCAGCAAGTTCGTAATGTTCGTCAGAATATGAAAAAAGCTGGGCTCACCTGCCCTGCGTCCAGGTAGTGCGTGACCTGCAGTACCAGGAAAAAGACCCTTAGAGACTCCTTCTGAATGGGATTGCCTTGCCAGTTCTCCACTATCTGGCCACACAGGGTGAGCAAGGGATGCACCTCCTGGAGCTTTCGTTCCATCAGCAGCAGCTGAGCCGGAAAGACAAGACGGCACACCCAGACTTTTATCCAAACCCCGTTCTGCAAGACGCACCCCATGTTCAGTGGCCACTCGCTCCAGCATATTATTGTTACAACAGGCATAAAGAAAAGCCTCTGGGTGGCGGCGCTGTGTTGCAGTAGTCAGCATTGCTGCCTCTCACTGTTGGGGCCCTGGGTTCAATTCCAGACCTGGGCTGCTGTCTGAAAGGAGTTTGCATGTTCTTACTGGTTTGTGTGGATCCCTTCAGGTGCTTCGGTTACCACTCACAGTCCAAAGACATACCAGTAGGTTAACTGGTTTATAGAAAAATTGCCCCTAGATGTGTCTGCTCCCTTGTGACCCTAAACTGCATAAAGTGGTAAGGACCCATGGTGTTTGAAACGAAACATAAATCAAAGTTTCTACATTACTTTTCTTATACAGGAACACAATCAACAGCAATTATTTTTTCAGAAGGAGAGAAAAAAAACTTACCATTCCTTTACTCAGAAGAAACAGTGCCCTGTAAAGAAAAACAGAACAGCAAATTCAGCACAAAAGGCCACAAGTTAAACTCTGAATCTTTATGCTGAATTGTATTCTGAGTAGAAGGACGGGGAGATAAGCAGTCATCAAAAAGACACTATGTCATGCATCTTTAAGGCGATCCCCTATCACATTAAATTAATTTTAATACTTCTAAATTGCAACCTCCTCATAAGTATTTATGAAATGTCACCACAACACGTGATGACTTAAAAAAACCCACTGCTACAAATAAAAGTAATACACTTAAAATAGTTAACCTGCTAACGTCACGCAGCATTCTTAAGCACACTCAGCTGTCCATATAGGAGAATTTCCAGTACCTGGTGTATTCTGAGCCTACAACCCTGGCATATTCAGCTCCCACCCCCAGGAGATCACAGGCCGACACCAGGTCCTTCTCCAAGGTGTGCAATTGCTGTACAAAAGAAACCAACCTCTGCTTCAGCAATAAGCACTCGCTTATTTCACACAACATTCCCACAATGTCAAAAGCTTAGTCAATTTGGCATTCTCAAATTAACAACAAGCATCTATGTATAAGGGAAAGGCTGTATTTTGACACATAGGCTAGAAGAAATACGCTCAACAGAACTGAAAGGCTTTAAGATGACGACAATAATGTGTGCCCTTTAAAAATAAAGTTCGGACCATCACAAGTTCGACAGTAAAAGTAATATGGAAGGACAGAAAAAAGGCTTCAAATCTGTGCTCTTACCGCCAGCTGGAACAGCAGTCGGCAGTGCCAGTACGGCGTCTGCTGAGAGATCTGAATGGCCTTGCGGAGCAGGGGCTTCGCCGAGTCGACCGAGTTCTACACGTGGAGAGAGGGCAGGACAGGGAAGAAAGACAAACACGTTGCTCGCACATTTCACCGAGGAGATAAAAGGCTTTGAAGAAAGTGCAGATGCACTTTGAAAGGGCTGCCTATGTCACAAAAGGTACCAGTCTGGATAAGATGTTGATTTTAAGATGACTGAGGCGGCAGGTGCCTCACTGAGGCAGCGCTGATGCCCCAGGTTTCAATTCGAGACCTGGGGTGCTATGTGCATGAAGAGGGTATGCCCTCCCCGTGTCTGTGCGGGCCTCCTTCCACAGTCCAAAGACGTGCTGGTAGGTTATTTGGTTTCTGGGAAAACTGGCCCCGGAGGGAGTGTTCATGTCTGTGTGTGCCCTGCAGTGGACCGGCGTCCTGTCCAGGGTGTACCCTGCCTTGCACCAGTTGCTTGCAAGGAAAGGCTTCGACTCCCCAGCGAGAATCGGGTGAAGCAGTTAGAAAATGGATGGATTATGACAGAGAGCAGCAAAACACCCATCTCTTAAGGATGGGACAGGCACAGAACAGGAAAAACGGATGACCAAATAAGATGGGGCGATCCAGTCAGTTTGATCAAACTTATAAACAGATGCATCATTTTTACTTGACGGGATGTTTATAGAGACAACCGGGAGCCAAGACAATCCCCAAGGTTCTCTCACAACAAAACACAAAGCAAGAATTTAAGAGGCTTACCTGCTGGCAATAAAGTTCAGACAGCAGACTTGCAGCTTCAAACTTGACATCTTCAAACTGAGGGACCTAGGGGTTGCTTGGTGAAGGAAATTACTCTTCCATTACTGTCCTGACAATACTGAAGCGAAAGCAAGTTGTCTTTCGGCCAAATCAAAGTAAAACGTTTTCCAGCATAAGCCCGGTTACAAAAGAGAGCAGGCCATTCGACCCATCCAGCGAGTTGGGTCATGAGCAGCTCACTGATCCTTCGATCCCAACCAAATGTTTAATGAGAGAAGCCAGGGTATTGACTTCCAACGACATGACTGGGTAACCTTGTTCCAGACTCCTACAACCCTCTGCGTAAAGAAGCACCTGCTGTTCTTGGTATTACAAGAACTTCCACATGCTTTCCCACTTGTGATCCCTGGCTCCCAATTCAGTGCTCGCTGTGAAGTAACCTGCTGGGTTGACTCAGTCACTGACTTTGGGGATTTTGGAAACTTGCATCAGGTCTGCCTTGTAGCGATCTGACAGCTATCAGCAAATACTGTGCAATACTCGACCAGAAACAGGTAAATGCGATATTACATATTTAGAGTGAATAAGCAAAGTGTAGACTTCAGTTTCATTTTTTGCCGAAGTTCACGTAACATAGCGTAGTAAAGAAAAGTAACAATATGGTACCTTGACCCCTTGAACCGGTATGACAGTAACAAGCAACCAACGTAACTTATTCCTGAGCAGTGCCCATGTGAAAAAGGATACTTGTTGAGACACCATCCACTGCAGAGAAAAAAAAAGATTAGTAACATAATAACTGTTAGATCGTGAACCATAGTCACAGGTTTATTTTGAAAATGAATTAAAAAAAAAGTTTAAATCATCCATCAAAATGCAGCTCTTGTGGATCTTAAACATTTCCATCCGAAAAAGACCCCTGCAACAAGCACCGCCACTACTTATTTGTGGCGGTGAAAGACGCCTTATTGGGTAACTAATTTTGAAATGCTCAACTTCATAATCGAGTAACATTCAGCTGAAATAATATGGCAACACTTTCGTTGTAAAGAAAAGTCGCTCGTTTTTTAATAGACGCAAATGTGTCGCATTCTAATTCAAGAACTACACTGAAGATTTTCTATTTGATTTAGGGGTCTTGTTACAGAACTCTTCCTCTCTCATAGTACACTTTACAGACGTGGCCTTCATTTCCCCGCCTCCCTCACGAATCCCCGGTCTTTCCTGCGCTACCCCTCACCGCTTGCTCCAGGTGGTTTCTGGCGAGATCGCTGTTCTTGGTGTGATGATACAGCACCGAGCCTAGCTGAAGGTGAGTGCGGGCTTCGACCCTTTGTGGCGGCTTGAACTGAAAGACAGCCTGAAGACAGTGGACACAGAGGCGTATCTTAGGAGGACTTGAGGTACGGAAGTGCTCCGCAAAGCCGAGCAGGGCGAGGTACCATGACTCCGGGGCCTCACCGCCAGACGCCATTTTACCGACAACAACAACAACCACCACAGCTACCGCTGTTCCAACACCGCGGGATTTGAGATCAGAACGAGAATACAACGGGACTTGGACCGAATGGTCCCCCGGGATATGTAGTTTAACACTACCGTCACCTTTTATTTCTGTTTTCCAATCCCGATTTGCAATTTTTTGTATTATTTTAACAGATGGATAATTTAAGAAAATATCAAGTTTATAAAAACCTATAATAAAATTTCTGATAAATGATCAATTTAGCAAAACAGATTTCAACATTATATAGCTTTTTAAGTTGAAAAACGTACGAAGCAAAATCAACCTGCCTTACTGTGATGAATGTATTCATTATCTATATTTATATATTATTTTACGATTGCCACTGAGAATGTTGTTTTGTTGATAGGAAAAGGGTGGACTAGGAACTAAAGTGCTGCGGAACTCAATAATTCCGACACAAGCAAAACACGGAACGACAACACAGCGTCCTGTTCATCGACCTATTCTTAAAATACATAGCCCCACATTTGGACGTAGGTCCTTTATCGTGATTCCTGCCTACGATACTTCCGTAGCGTTAGCGGTTTCTAGGTTTATTCATCCCAGTGACAGTTGTAGTTGATCTGGGCGGCAGTAAATGGTGTCTGGGTACTGTGTTTAAATGCAAAGCGATTGCTTTAAAAAGCGAAATATCTGGCCCTACATAGAGGTATGTTTATATATATTTCATAGTGATTTGAACTGCAGGTATTTATTTAATTGCGCTTTGGGTTTTTTTTGGTGTTAAAAATAGAATAAGAGTGCATTAGTAATCCCTCTAATCTTTACGGCATTTAAGTCGTAGTGATTTGCACGGTGTTGCCTTAAGGCTCGAAGAAAGAATCGAGGCGTTTGTAAAAGGACGACAGCTTTTGCGTTAGCCTTAACTGTGCACTGTGTAACAATGCAGCCGCAACAGCATAATGGAAAAGGATGCGCTGTAAAGGAAAAAAAACCCGAAATGCACTCGTCTTGTTTATAGGGGCACGCCACATAAAAATATTTATATAACATATACATTTAATGCTTCTTGCCAGTACAGCACAGTACGAGGTCTTAGGCATTCACAGCAATACCAGGGCTTTGTGAACGGCCTCGTAAAACAACACGGCACCGTAATCTTGCTGCATCTCCCCAGCTGGCTGTCTCTGCGTGCTGTGTTCAGCTCTCAGGTTTCCGGGAACCGGCCGGTTTTGTCGGGAGCGAAGATGGCGAGTCGTCGGATCGCGCAGGAGACTTTCGACGCGGTGGTGAAGGAGAACATGGAGGAGTTCGAGATGGACGCCGCCGAGGCGCTGATCGAGGCGGTGCAACAGTTCGAGTCTCAGGGTACGAGGAGATAAGTTACCCCCGCTGATGGCCCTTTAACGCAATGGCTCCCCATCCTGCCGGGTTTTGAGCTCTCCGTGAAATAATCGGACCCTTAACTGACACCTGATAATCAATTAAATTTGAAGTCTGACTGTTTCCAGAGTCCTCCTAAGCTTGTAGGACCTTGCCCTTTAACTTAACGTTTCGGCTGTAGAGCCGAAGAAGGCTCCACAGCCAAAACGTTGTGTTTCCTTTCTTTTCTGCATGGAATAAACCTTTACGTGTTCCTTGCAACCTACGCATGATGACGCAGCTCCCCTACTTGAACAATTTCAGCCCTTTCATTTACATGACTTCCTAAGCTAACTTCACATCTCCAAACTTTGAGTTGGGGAAAAATCTGGGTTCGATAAAGGATACACTGAAGCAAACAGTTTAACTGGGACAAACGCTAGCAGGTGTGGGGATCCCATGGCTGAACCCCAGGAACTGTTGTATCAGGGGAGCCCAACTCTGGTTCTGAAGACCCCCCCCCAAACCATCCAGTCAGTCTGATTGGTCACCCTTAAATGGCCAGTTTACAAAGATTCAGAAAAACATGCCTTTTGTACAAATGAGTAAATTGATTGGTATAATTACGTTGGGGAAATGGCTGGCTGTTGTCCTTGAGAGCCGCAGTGTCTTTATGTACGTTTTCATTTTGGATTGTTTCTAAGTTACTCCATTTTGACAAGTCAACTTATTAAAATGGTGAAAATGTAATTCACTCCTGCTGGAATTCTGTGGACTGTTTTAAATCTGGTTCCGAATTGTCTCAGTCAGGACTAAAACTGATAATAGATGACAAATTATAATTGAATTCCCTGTCTGACAGTTTACAACTGTCTTTAAACAGTACCAAAAACATCACAAAACATCCTTTTGTTGAAAACATGCACTTTCATTACTCTTGTTATTGATTAATGTGCACAGAATGAGAAATGCAAGCACCAGCAGACTTTGCTTTTACGAGTTTGCATTAACAAAGGCACTGTGTAAATGGAAAGGCACAGAGAAAATGAGCCTGTTAGAAAAATTAACAAGTCACTGCTGTTCATTAAGTATGAACATTTTGGAACAGTTAGCACATGCTCTCCAAGATGCAGCAGTTAAAGCAAAAAAAAAAAATGGTCTCGCTCTCCTTAAATGACTTCTTGTTTCTGACTGATTCAACCACAACATCAGACATGAGGTGTGCCACTGTCTGGGGCTGGGCTGACAAAATCACGTGCAATTCTGTCAGGAGCTCGCGTGTAGAAACTGGCGATTTAAGGGTAATCTATGAAGGGACAAGTAAAGGTTATTTTAACACTGAGAAAGAAAAAAAAACAATATTTTGGCTGTTGACACTATGCAAGAGTGAAAGGGAAGAGCTGATAGGAAATGAGGCTCTTGCATGTGTTCATTTCCAGGTGTGGACCTCAGTAATATCGTGAAGGCTGTCCGGACGACTGCTTCAGAGGACACCGAAGAGGAGCAGACACACAGTGTTCTGCAGGTGATGACAATAAAGCCAGACCATTGAGTGAGGCTGTGTAAGTCTCTTTACAAGGGGTGACCAAGGTGTACTATGGTAAAAGCAGAGTGAAGTGTGATGTAACGTGGTGAAATTGTGTCCAAAACTGTGTTACAGCATTACTGGGTCTAGCAATGCACAGTACAAGCTGTAAGATGGCATGTGAAAGTAGAAACAAAAAAGTGCTGAAAGCATGGTACAACTGTAAAATTGTGGTGCAGAGCCAGCGCCGTGATCTTATCCATAATGTCCAGCAAGATAGTCGTGTTTTGTAATATATACTCGTATCCAAAAATGTTACGTTGACTTCCGAACCCACAGCAAATAAAACACCCTTTGAAAATGCAGACTTTCATAAATAAATCAGGCACAAGTATATCTGAATTTATAAGTAAATGTTTAAGCAACATTTCACAGAAGCTCTCGGCAGCCCTTGGGATGGAGGCAGTGACCCAGGGGTTTCCGGTGCAGTCTGCCTTGTGCCGCTGAGCGATTTCTTTCTAGCTGATCCGGTTTCCTTTTTTGTCATGTGTTTTGGGACACAGATGAGGTCAAGGTTATTGGCTAAGGGGTACAATAATAATAAGATAATAAAATAATATAGCTCCTTTCATTCCTCAAAGTGCTTTGCAGAGGGAGCATAAAATACCCTAATAAAAATTATGAGAGGTCACATAAAAGATAATGACAATGATAACAGGAAATGCACAAATAAAGGGTAATAACAAGGAATTAAAGTAAAAATGGTAATGATGCAAAATAAAAAAGGTAAGATGTGTTTAAAAGGAATAACTTGTCAATATAATGAGACAATGTAAAATTGTTTTCCACACTTCTGTCTTCCTAGGCTTTAGAGTCTCTGCAGACCTCCTTGAAGTCCTCCTCTACAGACAGCTTATGTGAGGGTCTGCAGCGCTTCACAGAGCAGTGCAAGATGGACTTTTCTCACCGCTACTTGGCTGCCCAGAAGGATGCCTATCCCATAATCCTCTCCTACTGCAAGAAGGCAGGCGGAGAGAGGAGACCTCTGCTGGCAGCCCTAGGGGCCCTGGCAGCCCTGACAGATGGACAGCCAGACCTGCTGGACACAGATGGGCGAGACTTTCTGATGGGCGTCTATAACGAGCACCAGGACGACCCTGGCGTGACCTGCCTGGCCGTCCGAGTCGTGCGCCACTGCTGCTTGAAGCACGAGCAGAACCGACAGGACCTGGTGAAGGCCGGCGTGCTGGCGCTGCTGACGGGCACCATCTCACGGTACAACTCCCAGCCAGAGTTAGTCAGGGAGGCCTGTGCCACGCTTAGGGTCATGACCTTCGATGATGATGTAAGAGTCCCTTTTGGCCACGCCCATGACCATGCCAAGATGATTGTGCTGGAGCATAGTGGGTTAAAGGTCATCATCAAGGCAGCAGAAGGTAAGATGACGCAGAGCTGAAGTTATCAATTCAACTACATTTAATTAAAATATAATTAAGTCTGTGGGAATCTGACATCAAGCATTTTCCCTCTCTGTTGTGAAACCCGGCGGTTACTACGTGTAAGACCAAGTATAGTTGGGGTTAAAGGTCATACCCAGTCAGCCATAGAAAAAGTGCTCCAGTTTCTTCCATGTTTCCCCAGGTTATATGAATTTCTGCCTATAGATGCTTCATTCAGCCATTTCACAAAGTGAATAGAAGACAGTCCGAGCTTGCTTTTCAGCAATGGCTTTGTGACCGTCTGTTCTTGATTAAAATACAAACAAGTCTGTATTTTATTCAATCGGTTTTTCTCTCCTCCCAGCTCACTCAGACAACCCCAGCGTCCTGAGCGAGCTCTGCAGCACGCTGTCCCGTCTGGCCGTACGGAACGAGTTCTGTCAGGACATTGCCGACATGGGGGGTTTAAAGTTCATTATCACCCTGCTGGCAGACAGCCTGGACCACCAGGTATGAGACCCTGTCTCTGCACGGTAGCTGAGGCAATACATATGAGACAGTCTAGCTGCTTGGGAAAAGAAGAAAAAAAGATAGAGGACTCTTCATATCCCGTTTGGAGATTTGCATTGCGAGATTAACCGAGCTCTTGCGGTACAGTTTAAACTCCCCGATGTTCCCTGCAGGAACTCGTGAAGCAGGTGCTTAGCGCACTGAGAGCCGTTGCTGGGAATGACGATGTCAAGGACTCTGTGGTGAACGCAGGAGGGACAGAGCTGATTGTGATGGCGATGAACAGACACATGAGCAATGCACAGGTGCGTATCCCAGGAGAAACGCACCACAGCTGGAGCCCCAAGACCAAGGAGATACTTCCTGTTTGAACACGGGTTTTATCAGTAGCTGACTGTGACCAGGATTCCAGGGCAGCAGAGAGTCACTGCAAGGTCAGCTAAGCTGAGTCTGAAGACTCACAGTGACATCTATGAGATACCCATCGCTTCTCTGACCAATAGCCACCTTTCAAGTGCCTTGCTCCAAACGAAGAAGGGCTCTTATAGGTGGATGTGTTGGAATAACATGAAACGTGCTTGCTAGTCTTCATTCTGGCCCATGCACTGTGGGAGTCACTGCTATGTGGACAAATCTCAAGACAATTTGGCGATTCCAAATTGGGCATATACAGTATATAATGAAAACTAATGTCAGATTCCAAATTCTTTTTCAAAAAAAATGAGGGAGAACACGGCTGTCAGCTCTTCGGGGGGTCGTTTATAGTCAGCTCAAACCTGAATGATTCCAGGACTCCAGTCCACTGGATTCAGGTCGTGTTTCTCACTGACTGGCTTCTCCTCGCAGGTCTGTGAGCAGGGCTGCGCAGCTCTCTGTGTCCTGGCTCTGCGCAAACCCCACAACTGCAAGGCGATCATGGAAAGTGGGGGGGCTCTGGCTGCCCTGCAGGCCATGAAGGCCCACCCGGGGGACGTCCATGTGCAGGTGAGCTGTCTGGGGGAGGGAACTCTTCTTTGATTAAACCGGCAGAACTCGTTAACCCAGTATACTAAAGGCGTCGTCCTTCGGATGAGACGTAAAACCGAGGTCCTGACTCTCTGTGGCCATTAAAAATCCCAGGGCGTTTCTCGAAAAGAGTAGGGGTGTAACCCCGGCATCCTGGCCAAATTTCCCATTGGCCCTTACCAATCATGGTCTCCTAATAATCCTCATCTATAAATTAGCTTCATCAGTCTGTTCTCCTCCCCACTGTTAGCGGGGAGAGTAATGGGGCACTCTGGCTGCTCCAGGTGGGGCTGCACACTGCTGGTGGTGGAGAATCCCCATTGACAAAGTGCCATTACCTGTAAAGCACTGAGTAGAGTGTGCAGAAAAGCACTATACAAGTGCAAGGAATTACTATTATAATTGTGTATTCAGCATGAACAATATATGGTCAGTATCATTCTCTGATGTATACCAAACTACTACACAAACACTGTTTTCATTATGAATGTATCTGGTCTTAAGCGTTAACGGTCTGCAGCCAGTACTGGTAAATATCTTGACAGTGAAAGCAATGCCACCTGGCTGCCAGCTGTCTGTGCTGAAGGCCCCTGTCCTGTGACCCTTCCCTTCACAGAAGCAAGCGTGCATGCTGCTGCGGAACCTGGTGGCTCGGACCCAGGACTTCAGCCAGGTGATCCTGGAGCTGGGCGCGGAGGCCCTGATCGGCCAGGCGCTCGCCTCCCACCGGGACTGCGGCGACGTGGCCAGGGCCGCCCTCCGCGACCTGGGCTGCCATGTGGAGCTGCGAGAGCTGTGGACGGGCCAGAAGGGCAGCCTGTCCCACTGAGCAGGCAGGCAGGGGCCGAGCCGGGGTCTGCCGCTGTCTGGGCAAGACGATGTCCAGGGCAGCAGGGTGCCACATCAGAGTGAGGGTCCCCAGTCTGGTCACGCACAGGGCACCCTGTTGTCTGCTTGTGACAGCCCTTACTGTGTTCAGTCCTTTTGATAGCCAGTGAAGAATCCTAAATACTTCGTCGGTGCTCGTCACCATGCATGTCAGTGACACGTCAAAGAAAGCCCGCCTGTCTGTCTGTGTGAATTCTGTGAATGTGCATTATGCTCTCCCAAACATCTGCTCAGTCCTGTCCGCTGTACCTCTGTCCTGAAATCGCTGTCCAGCCTGTTGGCCACGAGCAGCAGAAGCTGTGGCTTTATCACCGGAGTGCAAGGAGTGCTTATCACATGTATCCATTCGGTTCCCCAAATGCCCTTTTGAAGACGCCGTGTCCTCTAATTTGTACATTTGTATTCCTTAGTATTAACATATTTCTTTTTATTTCACCTGTTATGAAAAGATGGACTCTGTACTTATACGTACTGATAAGTTCAATTCCTTTGGAGTTTTATATGGAAAAATAAAAAAAAGTAACAAGAATTTAGCAATGTGTACTTTCAAGGTATAGGAATTTCATAACACACTATAAGACATTTGTCACAAAGACCACAAATAAAGGATTAAATCTGTAATTAGCAAGTAGGAATGAAGATGCATTTTTAACCTTCACCTTCACACGTTTTTCAGAGCCACAAGCTATTTAGGAAAAGTTCTGTACCAGTATTATTTTATTTTACATGTGTAATGTTATGGCAGAAATTAAGCATGGAATTAGGATGACCAGTGTAATCTCACATCTTAAAGGGGAACTGCAACACTATTTTTATATTTTGGGGTTAGAAAGAATCAGCATTGATAAGTGCATTTCAAACCACTGGAAAAGTAAAATGTACTCAGTAACTTGTAAAACCTCCAATTTACATCACAAAATAGTTGATATTTACAAGAATGTGCAGCGTTATATTCTGCAATTTAGAACAAGGCAAAAAAAACATCCAATGAGGTGAAGTGGCCCTATTACATTGTAAACAAGCAGACTTATGAAAACATCTCTTAGTCCAATAGAAATATTGCTCTCGACTTTAAGAAGGTTTTAGAAGAACTAACTTGTTAACTGTAACCATGCAGATCACATTGGAAACTTTCTGCGGTGAAATATCTGCTGCACAACCTGTAGTTATTCGCTCGTACATCACAGTACATTAGTCATCACAGGGACTAGTGAGCAGGAAGGGCTGCTTCTCGTCACAAATCATCGGAGCTCTTGCCCGTAGTGAGACCATGGCATTACAACAACATGACGACTTACAGTACTTTCAGAAAATTCACAAATTTGTGCTTAATTCAAATTTTTTCTATACCATCTAGGAATTCATTTTGTTACTGAGATTTACCGGTCTGAGAAATTAAAGGGGACTGCAGTTCCCCTTTAAGAGACAGAAAGCAACAAATGCTGAATGCTGGACAGTTTTCCTCGGGCCCCTACACACTCCTCGTAACCCCTCCCCCACCATCACTTTTGAACTAGGACCAGAAATTGATGAGAACAGTTAAAGCACAGAACAGCTGATTCACAGGTTAGATTCCCATCATTCCCTTATGGGCAAGTTAAGTCTGCATGAGCCCAACACTGCGGTTCCCTCTCCTGTCCCAAGGGGTCCTTGGCTGTTAAAATATCACAGCTGGGTTCCAAGGTTTCCTGCTGACATCCTGAAGAGAGAGATAAGGCCATCAGACCTGGCTAACATGGTGTCTGGGCAAGCAAACTACACAATTTGAAGGTGTTCAGTAATTTCCAATGAATCTTTTACCTATGGGATAACTCCCATCTGTGGTTTTCGAAACCCATAGCTCCGTGTGTCAACTGTGCTCGTCTTGTATAGTCAGTGCTGAATGAAGGTGTGCTCTCAAGCTCCTTGATCTCTACTTTACAAGTGTGTTATACCCTGGAAGAAGAGTGGTGTAATAAAGAAGACCGAAACCATGTTTCAGCAAAGTAAAGTTAATGCAAGACGTAAGTAAGGTAAACCTTGGAAAACAAAGTACCACTATTACGTTTTCAAAAAAGATCAATGTCGGTAAATAATCCCCAGACCTATCTTGAGCCACAAATGCACCGTGTTGACAATTTGATTGTTTGCCCAGTGAGATTGAGAAAAGTCACAAGGGTATGTGTTGTTTTCCTGCTGCGTTGACCAGTGAACAACCAGTTCCAACGAGATTACACGACTGTAACGCCTGACGTATTAGGCTATCTGCCAAGGTGCCCGACCTTCTGCATCCAGCTAATCCTGCAACTCCTGTTCTCTATGAACTACACGGGCTGCCCACAGAATTCAGAGTAGACTTCAGGTTTCTGCTGCTAACACATAAAACACAGAACAGCCTGGCTTCTGGTTATTTGTAGGATTTCTATCTTGAGTATAGTACCCCTCCTAATCTGAGATTTTGTGATTGAAGCTTTCTTACTCTGTTAAAGACCAGGTTCTTTACCCTAACGGGCAAAATACTTCTTGTGCGCAGAGCCATGTCTGTGGAACTCGCCGCCCTAAATTTATTAGAGGCTGTGACTGCTGACATTTTCAAAACTCACTTACAGATCCATAAGGATTCAAACTTTATTGAAAAGATTGTTTTTAAAAGTAGGATATTGTTTGTTTGTTTCACAATTTGTTCATGATTGTTTTGCTTCGTCTTCGTATTACAAACGTGCAGTACCTTTGATTCTACCGAAATCGCTCAGCTAAAACTGTGGTATTATTTCTATAAAACGGTAGGTTCTAAAATAATTTGCAGAAACTCCAGTTTATTCATTTGAAATTCATAGCAAAAAATGCAAATAGTCATTTCTGTTCTCGGTCTTCAACTTTTCAATGGTGTGCCAACGCATCAACAGTAACACTACTGTATTGGTGAATAATTACGAAACAGAAATATTATATAGTACTAATATATAGTATAAAATATAAGAAACAAAGGAAAAAAACAACTTCTTAACCCTGTTCATTTAGGAAAAGTTCACGTCGGTATTACAAAACTTCAATTCCCAAAAGCCATCGCTTCTCCGCGCCAGCGAGTACTACATTTCCCACAATGCTGTTCCTCACGAACTCTGGGCGGGGGTGTGTGTCGCATGGACGATAGTGTCAAAGTCACGGCAGTGACGATGTGGGTATTTGGGCAATAACGGTTAAGAGCTGTGGTCGAAGGCAGTGGACCAAACACAAACCAGAGCTGTGGTACGCGTTGCTGAGTTCTGAAAAGAACCAGAAAAGGCACCAGAAAAGTACACAGTACCGAAAACTGTTTAGAAACTCAAGGAGGAGGGGTCATGACTGATTAGGTCTGGCTGTCATCAGAAATACTGGACAAGTTTACTTCGTAAAGACGCAAAGTGCAACAGCGCGAACGTGATCCCACGGTAAGGCACGGTAAAGTTTGGAAGCTGGTTCAATAATGTGTTTGTAATTAATCAGCAGCGCTGAGATCTGTGCTGAACAGCTCTCACTATCTGCTTAACGCCTTTATTCCAGCACTTTTAACATTGCATTCATCAGTACGTCAGGGGGTCAACTTGCACAGCAGCGAATAGAATTGCTTTAATTTTGGCGTGTATGGTTGTTAGGGTCCCAGATTAATCCTTTTGCTCCTGCGAATGCGCGATTACCAAATTTGTTTTGAGGCTTTTAAAGGGCGATCTCGAGTCGAGGAAGAAGTCCTGCGTGCTTTATTCGCGGTGATCGCACAGAAGTTTCCAGTTTCCACTGATCAGAATAAGGTCTGTTGACGGCTGTATGGTTTCATACGGATCACAGCTGTTAAAGAAAGCAGGATATGTTCTATCACTAACATATTTTAGGTTCCCTGCTGACGGCACTGTGTGTTATATTGCTGACCAACTCGTTTAGAAAACGGGCGATATGGTGAAGACAGTTTTTTTTTTAATAATGTAGTTATTCATCATTCGGGTATGTGCTGTATCTGCTGAACATGTGGGCATATAGCCTATCGTCTTCTCTTCATGTGAATATGAGATGTGGAAGTGGTGTAGTGTGAAGCAGACGGTTTGAGATGGAATTACCTCACGGCAGAGTTTTTTTATTGGACGCCCGTAAAGAAACGATATTTTCTACGGCTGGATATTTCCGATAGACGGCTTGACGGCAGCTCGCGTCTCGCGCACTGGGCGAGCACGCGAGGGGGGGGGTGGCACGCTCCGGCACCCCCACAACTGGATTTTGGAGCACGGAGCGCGCTCCTCGTGCAGCTCGCCAGCTCGGAATATCACGACTCTCCCCAGACAGGCACCCAAACATCACTTTTTTATTTCTCACGGAAGTGAGACGTAGTACATTGTGCATCTTGCAAGACTCCACACTCCCAGAAATCGCTGGGTAAAGAATACCCCCCTGTTCTCGGACTTTATGTCCTCTGAGTTGTGTCTCCCTGGTAATTAAACGTCCCCTGTTCAGTTAAAGTTCACTAGGCTATTGTAATATTGTGAAACTGAGCCAGGACAGAACACCTTCCTCTTTTGAGGTGCACCGTTGGGATATTTCATGGCCAAGCAGTCAGGACCTTGCTTTAAGGTCTCATCTGAAGTATGGCACCTTATACAGCCCACACTGCAATTCAAATTCTGAGGGATGAGCCCAACCTACTGGTCTACATCTCTTACAGCAGCAACCTAGTTTTCCTTTGCCTTCCCTTATCCCAGTATTGACCAGCGTCGCTGAGCTTCTAAAATCTGAAAAGATCAGGCTACAAGGTGGTGATGATGCAGTTTTAAAGCCAATGCTTTATCACAAGATAAATTAATTAGATGACTGATAAGGCTCCCACAGGCTGGAAGTGTAATGTAAGAGATGCATTGGGAAAGTTAATGATGAAACTTAAGTTATCATTAAGTTATCAGAACTTAAGTTAAGTCTTTAATTATGGTTGCGCAGTGGCTAGTATTTCTGCCTCACAACACTGGGACCTTGGGTTCAGTTCCTGGGATGCTGTCTGTGTGGAGTGTGCATGTTCTCCCCTTGTTCACTCCGATTTGGTTTCCTCACACAGTCTAAGACACGCTAGTAGGTTAACTAACGTTTTAAAAAAAAATATGCCCTGGTGTCAATGTAAACATGTGCCCAGAGCACGTTGCTTGCCAGGATAGGTTCCAAAGCAGCCTAAAGGAGTTTAGAAAATGTGTGTTTTAACCTAGATTTTTTTCTTGCATAACAAAACACAGTTTTTTTTAGCTCAGTGTTATTATCGCCTACAGTCACCGGATTATTCAGGAAACTAAATTATATTACTCTTTATAATTACAATTGCTGACAGTGAGCCAAGGGCTGGGTCTTCTGATGCCCCTACATTTGCATCCACGTACGAAGACCATTAGTGGAGAATAGATGTCGGTCTGGAGGACGCTGCATGGAAAACAACCAGATTCCAAAAATAAGTCCTGTCCTGCCTGTGGTTTTCATGGCCTGTCAGCTGGTGGACTGGCGGTGTGTTTTAGCATCTTTAACAAATTGTCATCAGTTATAGATGTTACTTTGCTTGTGTTGCATGGATTAGTTACTATAGTGCCATATGTGCTCATTTTATAAGCAGCATGACCTGCTGCTAGTGCAGCTGCCTTTTGTATTTCCTACTGAAGGAGACAGTAGGGCCTTCGGTTCATGGTTGACATGTCCATCCTTATTGCTGAATATCCCTTTTATAGTCCTTCTCTTTTGTAATCGAGCCGAGCATCTTATCCAGCTGTTTACTGAAGGAGCCAAAGGTCACAGCTTCAACAGCATGGCTGTTGAACTCTCAGCTTTGATTTCACTTCTACATGCTCTCCACTTGTGTCCCCTGGTTCGTGGGCCACGGTGGAGTCTGAAGGTGTCGGCTGGGTCGACTTCGTCGAGCCCTTTGAGGATTTTGTACACCTGCGTCACGTTCCCCACACATTCCTCTGTATAAGACTAAAAGGGTTCAGTTCCTTCCATTTGCCAGCGCAGGAGATTCCCTTAAGCGCTGCATTTCCATATTCATATGCACTGAGCGTTTATTCCACTGAAAATGCGAATCTCGTGTCACAGGACAATTTGAACTTGTTCAGTGGGGGGTGAGGAGGAGTTAAAAAGGCAAATGCCTGAGCCTGCTGCCCCCTTAATGTCACGCTGTAAATGAGAATGAGATAATCAAACGTTTGGACGCGTGTCTCAGCAGGCAGAGCTGCCAGACCAAGTGAGACCAATGCCACAGACTTTCAGGAGCTCTGTATTAATACCCTCTTCCCTATCCTCTGGCTAGTCAGGGCATCAGTTCAGGGGCTCCTGGCTGGGTTCCATGAGGATGTTAACAGGACCTTAAGGGCTGATAGGAACTCAGTAATTTTAACGCAGTACTGATGATTCATTTGGATCAAAAGTCTGCTTTCCTAGTCCTTGGAGGGGCAGCGAGTCTGGGTTTTTAATATCAATGTAATGAGCTGAACCAGCAGGTTACTGGCTGAAGTGGGCCAGTTTAACAGCTCCTCCCAGCTCTACAGGTGCTGCGTCTGTAAAGAGGCCTGTTAAACCTGCAGTTCTGGCCCCTCCAAGTACCAGGAAGGGATACCCCTGATTTAGATCACTGTGAACTTGCCTGACAAGGCTAATACCTGGCTTAACTCCTTATCTTGGAAGAGAGGAGACTACAAAGGGACGCGATGCAAATGTCGGTGATCTGAGATCCTCCGAGAAACTCCGCCTCAACAACCAGCAGGCCAAGATCAGCTGGTCGACCTCCTCTCCCCCAAGACTTCCCTTAATGTTCTTCTTGTAAACCTCAATCTGCATATCGCCTGAGGACGAAGTGGCTGAGTGTTCAGATGGGGTGGTATTAGGTTTTACATGAGACTGGTTCCCTCACCTTGTGCTACCTGCACAATCAGCAGTACAAGACACAGATACAGGTGTGCATTGTCAAGCTTTACATCTGCCCAGCCCATTGGCATCGGTGTCCTCAGGGCATTCCTGGGTCCATGCCTTTCACCTCATTCTTAAATGGGCCTGCACCTTTCACCCAGAGTCCTGCGGTCTTCTCGAAGTATTTGCTCATGATAGCACGCAGTGTTTTCTGTTATGCTGTTGTGCGGGTCTGACTCAGTGTCTTATTTAGCACACAGTGTTTTCTGTTCTGCAGTCTGAGTCAGTGACTTATTACTGCTCTGAGGGGCGAAGTGAGGTCAGGGCTAGCCTGCGATTTTGAGACCATGGTACATGGTGCAACTGAACAGGGCTTTGATGAGCCAGTTAAACTGTGACATGATACATATTTGGATTTAATGTATGTTAATATTATATAACAGATAGTGGACTCGACTGACTTTGGGATCTGTTTTTTTTTATCATGTCTTTTTATACACTTTGTGTAAGTACCTGTATGCTTGAATGTTTTATTTATAATGGGTTTACAATGCAGTGTCCTTGCAATTTCTAGAAGCTAAAGGATAGACATTTTTTCTATAGACCTGTATATTGCTGGAAGAGAAAACAAGAAAGATCAGCAGGTATAAACACTGCTCAAACCGATCTTCTTTTAACTGCATGAATTCTTCTGTCTGTTCTGCAGCAGGAAGCTCCTGGAGTGCACCCGGATTCCTGGCCTGTATGATTGTGGGGGCTGGGATGGGGAATGGGGTTCAGGAAGGTCGAGGGGGACTGACACAGGGCGAGGTGCTGCCCCGCCACGCCCCCAGCCAAGCCGAGGTGAGAACCCTACGACCCCGACTGCACAAATTTTCCGATTTCATAATCCTACTCCAGCTTCTCTGCTCTGCCATTATTCCGATCACCAGGCATGCAGAACATCTGCTAACTAGACATTTACAGACATTTACTAAGCCATCTGGCTTTCAAATGTTAACGTTTTACAGTGCTTCTCCCAGCTGCTTGTGCTCAGTTCTACGTGTACTTGGCAGAGCTTCATCCTGAAAAACAGGCAGAATGCGAGAAATGTTTTCGGTAATCCCTCCATTTGTGTTACAGGCTCCAGTAATGGGCACAGGATTCTTTCACGCTGTTTTAGGGCTCGTGGAAAAAGCAAAGGGAGGGGCATTTCAGAAGGTGATCAGTGGGACTGCGTCCTGTAGGACAGGATTTGCTCTTTTGTAGGCGACAAGTTTCAGGGCTCGTAACCCATCCCTCTGCTGTCCGAGTAGGTCAAGCAGAGTCCACACCCGGAGCCCAAACTCAAGAGTCTAAACTCGAATGCAGTCCACTCCCTGAAACGTCCTGCACACTGCAGCTGTTTAAAAAAAATCCACATTGTCCAATTTGCATCACAGAGTCCTGGAGCCGACATTGACATTCAAACTCTGGACTACCCAGGCTATCCCATTATCTCAGTGGGGGAACTCGTAAAACTCTTATCAGCGCATAGCTAGTGTCCTGATGCATTGCACCATTAACTTTGTTAGCAGGGGGAGACCTCCTTGTCTTGCACATCCAGGATTCCGCAAGTCTTTATCAGAATTAGTGGGGGAACCAGTTTATCTCTGGCAGCAGTTCGGAGGCGCAGTTTGCATCTGAACAGTCCAGACAGTTGGAGGTGAAAGAAGAGGAGAGGCTCGGGCCACACCAGAATTGCAGAGATCCTGCCCACCCTTTTCCAAAACCTTTCAGTGACTTGAGGACATAAAGCCCAGTTATCAGCCAAGAGAAAAGCCTTTAATCTAACCCTCACATCTCCACCAGCTGGTTTTACTAGGTCTCTGTTAACAAGCTTGTTTGTCTCACAGCCTGCTCAGTCATTACCCTACCTCTCAGACAGGGGGAGCAGGCAGCCTGTTACTCAGGGCTGGGACCAATGGCAACCCAGACTGGTGCCTCACACCCCTTGTCCAGGAGATAGGCCATTCCCCCTTGCCTGAACCAGCCCAGGGTTTTGCAATGCTGGCTTAATGATCTACTGCTCTACTGCAGCCCAAATAAGGACAGCATGAGAGATAGGTGCAAACTGAACTGAAAACCCGATGTTAACATGTAGCAACATGAATTTACCGTGTCCCAGGAGACCGGATTTGGTTACTATTCAAAGCTCTTTTCTTTCCCTCGCGGGATCGGAATTCTGCTGATGTGCATCGCAGTAGAACTGCCACAGGCAGCTGGAAGGAAGATTTGGGCATAGGATTGAATTTTCTTTCCCTTTGCTACTCTTCGATCAAAGCAGATGTTCTAAAACATTTTACAGAATTCAAGAAGGACCTCTTAGCCAAAAAAAATACATTTAAATGCACAATAGAACAGTGCGTTGGAGCGGTCTGTAAATCCTGGACGATGCTGAAAAAAAATCATTTTAGATACTTTTTGCCGGAAGGAACTGGGCTGGCTTGCCCTGGGGTGCTTTTCTGGGTTTAAAACAAATGCCTTTATTTCTTAATCTATTTCTTTTCATTTTTCAGACATTATCTGGTTTTACTGTGTACTCTGTATACTTTATATAAAATACACAATAAAAACAAACATATAAAGTGCCTTGTGAATGCTCTGTATTGAAAGGCGCTATATAAGAAAATAAAATAAGTTGATTGAATGGATGGGGCAGGACAGTGGTACAGTGGTGAGCATCGTTGCTCCGCAGTGCTGGGGCCCTGGGTACAGTTCCCAGGGTGCTGTCTGTGTGGAGTTTGCATGTTCTCCCTCAGTTTGCACAGGTTTCCTCCAGGCGCTCCGGTTTCCTCCCACGGTCCAAAGACATGCTGGCGGGCTAAACGAGTTACGTAAAATTGGCCCTGGTGTGAGTGCGTGCCCCGTCCGTGTCCGCCTGCCCTGTGACACCCCGCCTTGCGCCTGTAGCCTGCTGGAATAGGCACTGGCTCCCCTGCGACCCTGAACTGAACGCAGCGTTTAGAAAACGGACATCTGGATGAGTGTTCGAGAGTGGTCTGTGGGCTCTCGCTGAGGGCTTGTCTGTCTGTCTGTCCGCAGGGGATCAAGCAGAGCCACTCGGTCATCAGCTCTCTGTTCTCGGGGGCACTCGCCGGCGCTGTCGCCAAGACCTCTGTGGCCCCACTGGACAGAACTAAGATCATTTTCCAAGGTAAGGATACTGATCTCTTTTCATCCTTATATATATATTATATTATATATATATAATTGTATGGTTATTTAAAGTATTTGAAAGCATGTACTCTTTTCCTCAGTGGATTTACCCGTGACCTTTGTGTTTTTAATTGATTAAAGGAATGTTACTGATCAGTAGAAATATCTTGATTAAAGGATCTATAAATCTGATTCTGAAAGTTAGAGATGGGCCAGGAATTGACAGTATGAGGTAATGCTTAACAAATGTCTTTTATCACATTTACAGTGTCTTCAAACAGATTCTCTGCCAAGGTGAGCATTGAAATAATAACCCTTCTCAGTATTTTTAATTTAAATTGACAGTCTTGCACAGTTCGGGTTGCTTTGCTTTTTCTGTAATGAGGTACTTTATGAATTTAATGTGAAAAAACACTTCAGGTACCTTACAGTTTAAAAGGATGCCTGTAAACTGGTCAAATGTTGGGGTGATTGTTACTGGGGTTTAGGGGGTAATGCATTCTGGATGCTGTCATTCTGTTCGACCATTGAGTTAATGGAAATTAAATATACATGAGGTTTAAGGGAAATGGCTGCAGGTTAAAGGCAGACATGTATCTTTGCTGGAACGGGATGGAAAGTTTCATCCACCATCTCATGCAGCTGGATGAGATTAAAGCAAAGGTCTTAAAAACTCCCCTACACTCCCGTTCATGGCCATGGGGAAGCCCAGCTGTTACAGATTCAGAGTTATTCAGAGATTCTCAGCGTCTTATCTTTTGAGACATTTTCATGTCTTGAAAGCTTTGGTGCCTTAAGTTAGATATATATATATGATGCATAAGCAGAGTGATGAGGTTATCCGATATGACTCCCGTGAGACCAAATCCATTTTAAATTGAGGTGGCCAGAATGATACACGATATTCTAACTAAGGTGTTTTTAATTGAATATGAATGCAACACCCTAAGCAAAGCAACAAAGCAATTAACAAGACATTTCAAGCATCACTTATTGACATTTCTGGATGGGAGCGGATCCAAAAATCGTCGGTAGCAAATTTGGTATTAATCAGCAGATGTGAGAATGGTGCGTCTCTGAAGGCTGTAGGCTGCTCACTGCTGATGAGTAGGTCGCCCAGAACAATTGAGCATGAACCTGCTGCAGGCTGCTTCTGTTAGGGAGGAGCAGTGAGTGGCATGGAGACACAAGCAGCAGGGCTCGCTCCTGCTTTTGTGTTTCTGGGTTCTGGTGCCACGGGACCGAGCCTCCGACCCAGACGAGCTGCCGGAGCGCTGCTGTGGCGGACGGTTGGGGCGAGTTAGTCAGGGCGGCTCTCTCAGCCTTCCTGCCAACGGCGGCCGGTCAGCGTGACCTCTCCCGTGAGACTCTGCAGAGCTGGAGAGTGAACAGCTCCGGGGGTGGGCGTGTCGGAGGCGAATGTCCTGTCTCGTTGTCTCCCAAGCTGGTACTGGAGTCGCCGCTGTAACGCCGAGTCCCAGTAAGGCTGTAAAGCCGAATCCCAGTAAGAACTGGCAGGAAGCGGGGGCAGGAGTCCTTTCCGTGTAGCACATCCGAGTGCAGGCTCAGCCCCGTGATCCGGGCAGGTTCGAGCCTCGGGTCAGGGGACAGGGGAATAAGGTGGGACTAGTCGGTCCGGGGTGCCATCGGAGAGGTCGATCAGGTGGGTGTGTCAAAGCACGATGGGCGACTCAAGATTTAGAAGGAGGAAGTACAGCGGGGGTGCCCGCAGCGGTGAAGGGGGGCGACGGTGAGCCCCCAGTGATGGAGTTCTCTGCTGTTCCTTACAGGAGGCCTACAGGCTCATCTACCACACCTACCGGAAAGATGGCTTCTTCAGCCTCTGGCGGGGGAACTCCGCCACCATGGTGCGGGTCATCCCCTACGCCGCCATTCAGTTCTGCGCCCACGAGCAGTACAAGAGGCTTCTGGGAGGCTACTACGGCTTCCAGGGAAAGTAAGGACCTCCCCGCGGGGCAGCATGGACACCTGTCCCCAAAAAATCAGACTGACCTGCAGCCGGCAAATCTCTCGTTTCCCGTCCTGAGGCTGCAGAGTGGTTGGCCTGCTTGGTTTTGTTCACCGACCGCATGCTTTGACCCAGAACTTGGAACGCAGCTGCTGTATCTAAATCAGACAATATCAGCGCAGCGTGGCGATGGAGACCATACGCTGGTGGTCACACGTTTCACAGACACTGAAGTGAGTCTCGGAGGTGGGCAGTGTAAACATCCGTAGGGTATAAACAGCCACTTTTCAGACTCCTGTCCTCGAGAAGCTCAGCGCAGCCGCTGGCCCTCGTTGTGGAGAAATGCGATACGTGAACAAAACGAGGAATGGAAACGAGACGCCCACTCATAATGTCTGCCAGTGGACGTGGCGCAAGTTGCCAGCTCTGCTACAGTGCACAGGTCAACACAAAAGGGGTTTCCTTATTTGGGGCACATCTGGGTGGGCAAAGTTAAAACAAGTCATGCACGCTTGTTTGCTTTGCATAAAGGGGCTGCAGATCTTGCACTCTGACCCCAGGCTTCTCTCCTTGTCTTTGTGTCTCGTGGAGAGCAAGCTGGGGTATGCGAAAAAGCGAATTCCTAATGCAAGAAATTGTATATGGCCAATAAAGTGATCTCATCTTAAATTAGATGATAAAATCTTAGCAGGCCTGCAAAATCCTTTCTGTCCCAGATGTTTCCTCTGTATTTCTTGCATCAGGAAAGGGGGAAAAAAAAAGACAGGCTTTTGCCCAGGTGAAGTATGAGAAACCTATATTTTTTTTTTCCCAGAGCCCTGCCCCCGTTCCCCCGGTTTCTGGCGGGATCGCTGGCCGGAACCACGGCCACCATGCTGACCTACCCACTGGACATGGTCCGCGCGAGGATGGCCGTCACCCCCAAAGAGATGTAAGAGGAACCCCAGCTTTTCTCTGTGCCGTGTTATGGATATGGTTCTCAGAGCAGTAAGCTGCTGGACAGTCGGAATCTGTGAGAACTGGTATTAGGACACCTGCTCTTTGAGCTGCCCCCTGCTCAGACGGGGGTATATGAGGAGAAGTCCAGCAGAGAGATGCAGTACCTTTGCTGATGCCAACGATGAAAGACGTCACCCTTTTACCCCACCCTTGTTAAATAATAACGCCTTGCAACAGAAAGGGTTAAGGGGTGCACCGCCAGTGGGGCCAGGTTGCAGTGGGTTAATTGGCTGTTTCCCATGGGATTGATTGGGGGGGGAGGGGAGTGGAAAACAGAAAGATTATTCTTAATATTCATAAACCCTCTCAGTCGTTCCAGTCAGGATTGGGAACAGGGGCCGATGAGGGTTATCTTGGGCAGAGTGAGGGACAGCTGGGGTCTGACGTCTTGGTTCTGGCGGGTGTAGTACAAAAGAGGGAGATTTCAGTTTCAAAAAAGCGCGACTGTTTTGTTCAGATGAGCAAACGGCCAGTTCAGTGCAACACCCCTGGAACTCGGTTGGGAGGTTCGCAGCAGAATTCCCAACAGCGCTGCCTCCTTGCTCTCCTCTCACCATGAAACTCAGGTCAAAACCGGGAACAAGAGGTGCTTCTTTACACACAGGGTGGCGGGAGTGTGGAACAAGCAGCCCAGCCAAGTTGCTGAAGCTTCTACCCTGGTCTCACTCAAGAAACTGCTGGATGAAGTCCTGGGTGGGGTGGGGGGGGGGTTCTATAGTTCCCACTAATTCTGTCTAATTAGTCTGGATGGCCTCCTTGTTTCCCGACCTGCCTGACGATCTTCTGTCCCTTCCTGCGCTGCAGGTACAGCAACATCCTTCACGTCTTTGTGCGGATCTCCCGCGAGGAGGGCCTGAAAACGCTGTACCGCGGGTTCGCCCCCACCATCCTGGGGGTCATCCCCTACGCGGGGCTCAGCTTCTTCACCTACGAGACACTGAAGAAGCTCCACACAGGTACAGGAGCCGGGGGGAAGGCCCAGACGGGTCTGCAGTGTCCTTATTTTCCAGCTCGCGTACTTTATTTTAGGATTTATGAGCCTGGTCTGGAAATAAAGTGGAATAGGAGGAGTTCTAGGGGGAACTGCAACACTATTTTTATATTTCTGGGTTAGCAAGAATGGGCATTGATGGGCGCATTTCAAACCACAAAGAAAGTAAAATGTACACAGTAACATATAAAACCCCTAATTAACATCACAAAATAGATTAAATTTGCAGGTATACACAGCGCCGTGTTCTGTGATTCAGTCGAGGCAACAAAACTTCCAGTGAGGTGAGCTGGCACTATGACATTGTGAACAAGCAGGCTTGTGAAAACCTCTCTTTTTGTTCAATAGAGATATTGCTCTCGACTTCCAGATGGTTTTGCTGACAAACACTATTTGTTAACTCTGCACGCAGATCACGTTGGAACATTTCTGCAGTGAAATATCTGCTGCACAACCTGTACTTATTCACTCGTACATCGCAGTACATTAGTCATCACAGGGACTAGTGAGCAGGAAGGGCCGCTTCACGTCACAAGTCATGGGAACTCTCGCTCTCGCCTGTGGTGAGACCAGGGGTTTGCGACAGCATGGCGACTATCCAGTACTTTCACAAAGTTCACGATTTTGTGTGAAGTCAGAATGTGTAAAAGTTTGCGATACCGTCAATGAATTTATTTCGGAAACGAGACTTAAAATCCGAAATTGAGAAATTGGGACTGCAGTTCCCCTTTAAATGATTTCTTCATATCCATCGCTTTTATTTTTTAAAAGAAAGTGGTTATGGTACTCTAGATCGACAGTTTTAACAGTCATAGGGATGAGAAATAATAATAATAATAATAATAATAATAATAATTGCTTACACTTATATAGCGCTTTTTCTGGACACTC